GGCAATGTCCAGGGATGTTGTTTTATAGGGAGGAGACATTATTAGGGAAGATATGGAGCAGAACATGGCCCAGCATGTGTACCCTTGTAAAAAGAAAGACTGTTTTTAAGAATGTTTATTGCTTTGAAAACACATTTTTATGATCCATGAAACACATTGGGTTAAGCTATATAGGGCTTTATAAACACAATGTGGAGCAATGGGAAAAGAAGAATTAGCTACCACTTATAATCATTTCTGTGCTCTGCTGGTCTGTGGAAGAGCTCATATAGCTTTATCTAATTCTAGTTACTTCATGACTAATGAGGATTTTAATTCTTAGACTTTAAAAATCATTTTAAGAGATATATTAGTAATGTACACTCTGGAAGCATACTAGTATGCTTCTGATTATAAGGTGTACATATATATATATATATATATATATATGAAAATGAGCCTACAATTGAGAGATGACCACTGCTTAGTACTTTGACATATTACTTTCTAGTACATTTCAAGTTTTTGAATTAATTATATATTGTATCTTTTCATAAAATTAAATAATCTTCTACAACTTACTAATCAATTTTACAATGATCTCTATTTCCATTTGAATATTGAAGTTTTAATTCCAAAAGTTACACATGCTTATTCTAATTATTTGTTGGCATTAGAGCCTGAAACTCAGTTTTTAATTACTGCTGATACGTTACCACTTGAGTCACAACTCATAGATTTCTCTATCCAGATTGGGTCTGAACTACAAACCTCTGCTCTCAGCCACTTGGGTAGCTAGGATTATAGGTATGAGCCACTGGTGCCTAGCCATAATAATTTTAAAATCTGCATGACCAAAGCAGAAATTGAAGAAATTATTTGCATTACGCCATAGCATATATTGTATGGCAGTGTCATTGTATACATTTCTATATTCTACTAAATTTAAATTTAAACTTAGTGTTTAGTTTAGTGCCTAGGGCATAGTGATGATTTAACACATTTTCAGTGAATGAATGAATCCATGATTAAATGAAAAACTGAAGAAATGTGTGAATGAAGAGACTAAAGTTAAAGCTCATGGTAGAAGAATCTGACATTTTAGACTCAGCAACTTTCTATAGATTGAGAGACAAGGTAGCTAAACTCAGTCTCTTAATGAATTGGAGCCTGCTCTTTCTGTTCAACTGAATCTGCCTTTAGGCAGAGAATCCAATATAATTTTTTCTCCATCACTCAAACTGAAGAGCTGAAAAAGCAAAACCTGAGCCAAGAGAGGCTCAGGTTTTGGATGGGGGAATCAGCACCACTCATTCTTTCTGTGTTAGGAAGAGCACACCATGAGAGGAGTCATGTTCTCCCAAGAGTGGGCCCCAAAGTAGAAGGGTAGAAATAGAGTAGAGTAAGGGTAGAAATAGAACAGAGTTTTAGTGGATAAATATGTCTTGAGTGAGACTTTTAGAGACAACTGGTATAGGTAGGAGAGAAGATAGATGGTGATTTACAGATAGAAGAGACAGTAAGAACAACGGTACCCATATGGAAGAGCTTTTAGATGGAAAGAGGGAAATGATGGCAGTCTTGGGACAGAAGCAGGTAGACACTGTCTGTCTGTCCCTCTAGCTGCCTAATACTTTTCCTAACCATCTGCCCACCTATCTATTTGTGATGTTTCTGTATATATGTGCATGCATATTTATCCTGGAAGTGGAAAGAAAAGGATTTTTGAGAACCAGAATTGTTCCACCAGGAAGAATATGTTCATATATTTTATCTCCAGTACTAAGTTTTCCATAGAGGTTTTAGGAAGCAGTTTAGTCTTCTTACCTGAGCAAGTATCCCAGGGACAAATGCTCAGACTGAAGGCAGAGTTTTCTAAATTCAATATAGAAGAGACTTTAGGCCCCAAATCACACTCTGCCAGCTCTGATTCCAGTCATAGCAAGCAAAGCCCTCCCATTTCTACAGATAAAAGACTGCATAAAACCCAGAAAGAACTGCTTCAAACCCCAGATCCAGGCGAGACAAAACCCAGACAGAGGGTTTTGTCCCTACCCTCCATGGAAGTGATTGGTCCTTCTATCACGAATAATCCCGTGAGAAGGAAAGTGTCCTTCCTTTTCTCAATTTCTAGAGTTTCAGTCTTGGCTTCATGTACGTCTTTGACATCGTACTGCTGTATGTATATTTTGAGGTCAGAGAAAGGCTACCTTTTTTGCTTCCTAAAGAATTAGATATGAAGCACAGAAAGATACTGCATGATCTCACTTACATCTTGAAATTTTAAAAGTTGGTCACATAGAGAGAAGTTGAGAGAAGGTGTTTACAAATAGGGGCATGAAGAAAAGGAGTGATTAGAGGGTACACAATTTAGGTATGTAGCAAAATCAGCTGTTGTGTCAGATTGTAGAGAACTATAACTGTAAAATAGGTATCATATATTGTGATCTTTTAAAAGAGTTGATTTCAAACTTATTTGGAAGAGACAAAAAATAAGTATATTGGGTGATGGACTTGCTAGTGAACATTATTTATTCATTTCATAATGTAACACTAACATATTACTTTGTACTCCATAAATATATAAGATGTAATCATTATTTTTCAGTTTAACATGAAACTAAACAGCTATATGTGTTTTTATGCACTATGAAATTCAATGATTTTAGAGTCTTTCAGTAGCGATTTAGAGTCTTGCATTGATTGAGTTAGTGATTAAGGAGTGGTAGAGACAGTTGTGCCTGTTTTTCAATGTACAAAATTGGACAGGAATGGAAATCAGTACTTTTTATAGAGTGGATCCTAGTTTTCATAAACACTGTGAAACTGGAACACAGTAGTGTGTGATGGTACAACTTGTGACCAGATAAATTAAGATTGATGTCCTGGATTTCCAGCTAGCTGTTGTAATTACCAAGAGATATCATCTATAAAATGTAAATGCTTAAGTATCCTCTTGACTATACTTTCTCAATGATGTTGAGGATTATAAGAAATTCTGCCTTTCTCTACCTCCCTACCTCTGCCTGTGTCTGTGTCTCTATCTATATAAACAGATACATATATATATGCATATATATATGCACATACATGTGTATAAATATCTATGTATAGTTAACTGTCCATCTGTCATTTACTAGATAAAAAGTTTATTTTCACACTGCCAGACTTCACCAAATATTTACTGGATCAAACTGTAGTGGGTCTCAAACTTTCTGAGCCCCATAAGCTTTGAGACAATCAGAAGTTCATACACCAGTGTATCGCTCTGTGAGCTGTAACATTACACACATAAGACTTTACAAAAGGTCAAGTTATCTGCGTGGGGTTTGCTGAGAGTGTAGCACTGCAGTTGAGAGCAACTAGGGATGTTATTCTAGAAATGTACCTTACCTAGCCCTATTTCTATACACTTGAGTGTCATCTGTTCCTGGACTTCTCAGTTTCCCTGCCTGTAAAAAAATTATGGGGAAAAATGTGGGAAAATTATCCTGACAGGCTAAGCACCAAGTGTATGAAAAGAGACTTGAGCTGGGCATCAGCAAACTAAAGTTATAGTTTCTTTGAACAAAACTTACCTAAGATTGAGCTTACTGGAGTAGGACATTGGCCTGGTTACCTGTTATGTGCCAGGTATGGTATAACTACTGAAACTACTGAGTAAGGCATGATTATTGCCCCTCTTGTGGCTTATAACCTAGCAGTTAAAAATCACTCTTGTGTAGTCCCTTACAGGTTGCAGATCCAACCCTAATGTGATGAGACTCTATAAACTAAGTGAATAGGGAATCAAGTCCACTAACTATGCAAAGTATCCTTCATTTTTCCCAAGTGTTAGGGATCATCTGAAATTTTTTTCACTCTTTGAGCTGTTCTCCACTAGGAACTGCCTATTTTAATGTTCTCATTATCATCATTCCATGGCAGATAGTTCATGGAAATCTTATATGAATTTAAGGAATGCAAACACAACGAAATAACAAAATCTCAATGAGACAGCCATATAATTCCTTACTGAATGCTCAGTAACAACAAAAGATGTGAAAGAACTGAGATGTGTGGGCTGAACTATATAAAAGGTTTTTGTCAAAAGGGAGCCATAATTTGTGCTGGCCTTGCAAGGACCTATAAATTTTACTTACATCTAAGAGTGGCCCATCTTGCCATCTTGTAAACACATAGGAATTTGAATGAGCCTGGTATTTATGGTGATGGTAAAGAGTTCCATTTCATATTGTCTATAATGTATCAAAGAGAGAAAGAGCACAATATTTTGCACATCATATTGACTTACTCTCAGTTGATGAGCATTTTTATATGCATATTCCTAGGAGCACAGAATCTCTCTCTTCTTCATCTTTATGTTCTTTTTTTTTTTTTTTTTTGGTCATGGGGCTCGAACTCTGGGCCTGGACGCTGTCCCCAAGCTCTTTAGCTTAAGCTCAATACCAGCACTCTACCACTTGAGCTACAGTGCCACTTCTGGTTTTCTGGAGGTTTTATTGGAGATAAGAGTCTCACGGACTTTCCTGCCTGGGCTGGTTTTGAACCATGATCCTCAAATCTCAGCCTCCTGAGTAGCTAGGATTACAGGAGTGAGCTACCGGTGCCTGGAATCATCTTTATGTTCTTCAGAGGTCCTTCAGTGTGAGAGTTGTTGAAATATCTAATTTTGAAGTAAATAATTGCTCTAAGTGTAACTAGATACATTATAGAATTTAAGGAAAACAGAAGACATTCTTTACTAAAGGACTTACCCCAAAAGGAGAAAGTGATGGCCACTGAAAATGGATTCATACTCAGCTCCAAAACCGCAGTTGATTAATCACCTACTTGGTCAAGAAGGCACCATGAGAACTATAGCATTAGTCACATTCTTGCATTTTTACTTAGGTTAATTGGATGCTTACTTGGGTGTGTAATCACTGTATTGGAATGGTCCAGGGGGGAAGGACAATGCCTACATTCATGTTCACACATGGCTCTTAAGACTTATGTTTTTCTCCTTCAATGTTTTGCAGCTCTACAGCTCCATGGACTTTGGAAGACGGTGGCAACTCATGCATGAGCGCATCACACCCAATAGGTTTTACTGGTAAGATCCATTTGCACACTAATCTCCTTGACAAAGGTCTAAGTTACAAACATGTATGAAAATATACACAAGGAACATATTCATATGTTCAAATTGATTATGGTATGCTGTACACAAGGGAGAAGTAGTTCCTTTTAAGCAACTAAATTACAGTTTAACAAAATGATTACCAGAAAGCTAGAATATTTTGTCCAGAGCAGAACAGGGAGAGATCAAGGGGACAAGGAAAAATGCATGGAGAGAGGAAGGGTGGGAGATTAAAGTCATAGTATTCAATGTACCTACATGGAAATGGAACTTGGTAACTTGAGGGGTTGGATGGCAGTGGAGCTGATAGGGCACTATAACAGAAATGGTGACATTAACCAAGAAGGATTGTGCACATAAACTGACAGAGTGAATTGAAACCCTCTTGTATAACTACTTAAAGATAACAAAAATAAATTAAATAATAGAAAAAAATTATCAGAAAGAAGAATATCCTAGAAAATAACAGATACCTCAGTACTTGAAGGGAACTGTGTTCTAACTGCTGCCCAAAGTGCAGTTCAAGGATCCACCTTAGCATCACTTGGGAATTTTCTAGAAATGCATAATCTCAGATCACATTGGGATTCGTGGATGTATTTATTAATTTATCATAATGCCTTGATAATTCCATGCATGGGAGAGTTCGAAAGACACGAGCTAGAGAAAGCTCATGAACAGATTCTCTTTTTAAAAATTAAGTTTTTTATTGTGAAAATATTGTACAAAGGGGCTACAATTACATGAGCAAGGTAATGAGTACATTTCTTATCCAGCATTGTTGCCTCCTCCTTTGTTTTTTCCCTACCATCACTTCCCTCCCACCTCCTCAGCTACACCCCCCCACCCTCCCACTCTGCCTAAATTGTAAAGTTTGTTTTTTGACCCAGCATTTTGTACATTTCATTGTGTCAATATGTATCCGTATTTAAACAATTTGTTTTTTCCTTTCCCCTCCCCAAATTATACCAACATCAAATACAGTGAAAACAGGGGTTATACTGTGGGGGAGGGGCATACAAAGCAACAAAAAAATCACATGGTACCTTATAAATACATTAGAAACAAAAACAAGGAAGAAAAAAGCACTTGTGTCCCTATCTTGGAGTTCATTTCGCTTAACATCATCTTATTCGACCTTTTCTGCTTGACTCAGACATATGCTAGTTATTGCAAATAAGGAAAACCATGGGACCTATGTTTCTTTGGGCCTGGCTTACTTCACTTAATATAATTTTTTCCAAGTCTTTCTATTTCCTAACAAATGGGGCAATGTCATTCTTTCTGATGGAGGCATAGAATTCCATTGTGTATATATACCACATTTTCTTGATCCATTCATCTACTGAGGGGCATCTGGGTTGGTTCCATATCTTAGCTATGGTAAATAATGCTGCAATAAACATAGTTGTGCTGGTAGCTTTAGTATGGTCTTGTTTGTGATCATCTGGGTAAATGCCCAAAAGTGGGATTGCTGGGTCATAAGGGAGCTCTATGTGGAGTCTTTTGAGGAACCTCCATACTGCTTTCCAAAGTGGTTAACAAGTTTACACTCCCACCAACAATGCAGTAGGGTTCCCTTCTGCCCACATCCCCTCCAGCATCTGTAGTCATTAGAGTTCTTGATTATAGCCATTCTAACTGGAGTGAGGTGATATCTCAATGTTGTTTTAATTTGCATTTCTTTTATGGCTAGAGAGGTTGTGCATTTCTTCATGTGTCTATTGGCCATTCTTATTTTCTTTTCAGAGAAGTTTCTCTTTAAGTCTTTAGCCCACTTATTTATTGGGCAGCTGTTTCTTTGAGGATTTGTGGTTGGGGGCTTTACTTTTTTTTTAGTTCCAGGTGTATTTTAGTTATGAGACCCTTGTCCGTTTTATGGCTAGTGAAGATCTTCTTCCAATCCATGTGTTCTCTTAACTACATACATACTTTTAACTACATACATACTTTAACTACATACTTTCTTTTTTTGAAAAATGTACATTTTATGAGCCTATTTTATAAAGCAGTGTTTCCTAAAATGTAGTGTGCAGAAAGAATTGTTCCAAAAGTCACTTTTTTTCAGAGTGGTTTGTGTGGTCAAATAAACTGAGCTCATGATTATTAAGTTCTACATTCCTGGAGATTAATGATTCTTTTCAGAAAACTAGGGGAGCTCAGAGGGAAGAAATGTGACTCACCCAGAATCACCTATACCCCAAATTATTTTTCATGCCTGATCCTTTCCTTACACTACACCTGGTAAATTCTTCATAACTATATCTATAGTACATTTTAAAAATACTTTTTCTAAGATGCGATCTAAGTTTTAATTAAAAAAAAACTAGATCTTCCTCCTAATCAGTACATTTTTTGTTATTATTTGATATCTCTTTTCTCATTCACACTGTTTTATTGTGGCCTTGATTGTAACAAATTCAGCATATGTTTGCCTTATTCACTTATCTGTCATAATATGAAAATGATGCTGGTATATATCTTGCTTTCATTCCAGCAGAGTTGATAGGTGATAAATAAATAAATATGAGAAAGTATACACTAAAGTATAGAATAGTCTTACATGTATGCTTAATTAAAAATCTATAGTATTTGAAAGTAATATCTATTCATATCTCTTTTTAAATATCATATTTCAATTTCCTTAAACACTCACGTGATAGCCATTTATGCTTTGCACTACTTAGGAGTATTGTGTGTATGGAGGGTGGTACATTTACCTTTACCTTGTACACTTACATATGCACTCTAACATCTGTGCAAGTAGTACCTTCCTAGAGTCACCTCTGAATCTATAAAACTCTGTCAAGAATTAAAGATAAATGACTAAGCATACTCTGAAAACCAGCTCCCTCACATAGTTCAGATAGATGGGGCTATGGCTCTTGAGTCGCCACCTGCTCTATTCTCTTCCAGCCCAGGTGTTTCATCCACAACTCTTCCTTTTTTCAATACAAAAAGGTTTAATTTTGTTGGTTTTATTTAAAATTATATTGACATGTCTAACAAGCACAATAAAAAACCCAGAAATGAATAATAGTTTCAGACATGAAGGAAATAAAATCAATTGTCATTGCTTTTAGATGATTATAAGTGATATATGGAAACTTCTCTTTTTTAATATATTTTTATTGTAAAGATACTTGACAAATGGGTTACAGTTTCATGAGTAAGGGAATGAGTACATTTCCTGTCTAGCATTGTTACCCCCTCCTTTGTTTTTCCCCTACCATCCCTTCCCTCCTCCCCTCCCCAACTCTTCCCTCCCCAGGGCCTGAAGGTTTAAAGCTCATTTTCAAGATAGTGTCATTCTTACAATGGGTCAACTTGTATCCTTATTTCAGCATTTTCTTATTTCCCCTCCCCTCACCAAATTAGAAAAATGTATATACAAAATGCAGGGCATTGGAATCAAAGTGAAAACAAGTGTTATACCACGGGGAAAGAACATACAAAAGAAACAAAAAAAATCTTACAGTACATTATAAATACTTTAAAAACAACAGCAATAAAAATAAAAATTCTTGTGTCCCTATCTTGGGGTTCATTACACTTAGCATCATCTTGTATGATCATACGTACATAGCTTTTGACCTTTTCTGCTTGTCCTAGACATATACTACTTATTGAAAATAAGGGAAACCATGGGACCTATGTTTCTTTGGGCCTGGTTTACTTCACTTAATATAATTTTTCCAAATCTTTCTATTTCCTAACAAATGGGTTGGTATTATTCTTTCAGATGGAGGCATAGAATTCATATATATATGTGTGTATATATATATATATATAATATTACATTTTCTTGATCTATTCATCTACTGAGGGGCATCTGGGTTGGTTCCATATCTTAGACATGGTGAATAAGGCTGCGATAAACATAGTTGTGCTGGTAGCTTTAGTGTGGCCTTGTTTGTGATCGTTTGGGTAAGTGCCCAAAAATGAGATTTCTGGGTCATAGGGGAGCTTTATGTGGAGTCTTTTGAGGAACCTCCGTACTGCTTTCCAAAGTGGTTGAACAAGTTTACACTCGCACCAACAATGCAGTAGCGTTCCCCTCCAGCATCTGTTGTTATTAGATTTCTTGATTATAGCCATTCTAACTGGGGTGAGGTAGAATCTCACAACTCTTGTTTCCCATTATTTGGTTTGTCTTTGGAACTGTTAGGTTTTTCCATAGACTAAGGCACACAAAAAAATTCTTGTTTCTCTGATATTCCAGCTGTGTAACCACAACATTTGCTTAGCTGAGACGGACCAATTTCTCAGTATGTCATTGCTCAGGACTCCCTCCAAAAAGATAATTCAAAAGAGTCCTCTGCTGTCAAGATAGCAAGGCACTTGGCCAATGAGAAAGTCAAGTTGATGGTGAAGGAAAGCACAGTAGACCACCTGAGCCGTGTCATCATTTCTGAAGGAAATTAACTAAAATGGATGAAACAGCCTTTTCCTATCTTTTGCAAAAAGCACGATGAGAATGCTCCAGCTTCTGGCTCCCTCCACCTCCTCCTTTTGTTTAACAGAAAGAGCAAATCCCTGGGTCCTGATCATTGTATTTTGTCTCTCCTACACTCTGCTTCTTTCATGCATGCCTCCATGGGGAAATATAAAAGTTACTGCCCATGCCAGCTAGCCAAGTGGTAGCTGAACATTTCATTTTTGTAATTATCACTTCTCTGTTTCTGAGACGTAATTGCTGTGATTATTCTTTTAAGTGTCATAGAAGTCACAGAGGAAGAGCCCATTTTGTACATTCTGTTTTTGTTCCAAAGACAAAATCTAAGGTTGTCTGAAAATCTTAACCATTTATGTGGAGACAAGGTTTGTATGCGTGAGGAGTACATTTTGTATCCTCTTGAGAAAATTCAAAGTATGCATTTATCTGGATGTAGATACAACCTTGGTCTTGGTGAACTTGTCCATTTTAGGAAAAAAAAAACATGGTATGTATATGTGTGTGTGTGTGTGTGTGT